GAACCGGGTATGTGTTTGGATGGTTTCCGGAGATGGGATTTGCGTCCGTCGTGTAGTGTTTCCGCATGAATTCATAGAAGGGGCTACATAAACCATCAAGAGCTAGGAATGACTTGGTTTGAGGACATGGAACAAGACACATCACTCACTCTCTCACTCTCTCACTCTCTCACTCTCTTGCCCTTTCCTCACAGGTTGACCGGAGATCACCCTGAGAATTGGAGAGAGGAAAGGGGAGGGAGTAGGTGATGCTGTATCTCGCTCGCCGAAGGAGTTTCAACTCTTTCATCCATTTTCAAGTTGTCTAGGATATGTTAGCCTCGCTGGCCCGTGTGCCCAGTTTTATCCACAGGTTTTTGGGTTATGTCCATTTGGGGTAGGTAGGACATTGTGATTTGCGTCGTGATTGCCAAGCAACCTGGACCCCTGCCTGGCTCTCGCGTGGCGAGCCATCTCCGGCTCAGCTTGTGAAGGCGAATCCACCGAAGCTTCGATTTGTCCTACGGTTGGCAGGGCCCCCCCCGATTCCCAAGCCCATTGGGCTAGAAAAGGCTTGGGGGCCAACAGAAGTGTTTTGGGTGCTTTTTTTGCCAAACCTCCTCTTTGGGGGTCCCTGACAGCCGCGGGAATGCCTCTTTCCATGGACCTTTGTGGGGACTATGGGGAGGGGGAGGTTATCATCTAACAAAGGGCCTGAGTGGGGGGTCTTGGCTTGTCCCGGATCCCGCGCCCTTCCCCTCCCCCGCCATAGTCCGCTTGGAGGTCCATGACGTTGTTTTCCACTCCCGTTGCGCTTGTTCTCTGGGCTTTTGGATTTCTTTCACTCAGTGTCGTGGCAAGCAAGGCTCAAGCCACGCCAGGACATAGTTGTCAACTCAGTCGCGGGCGGGCGACTCACGATCGATCAGACTCGAGGACAGTGCGTCAAGGGGAACCAAAGAGAATCGACCCATTTTGGGGGTCCCGTGATTGAAACAACCCCAAGACACATGTGTGTGTTTGCGTACCCCAGACAGGGGCCAAGTTTTGCTCCTTTGCGTTCGTCTTGGCAGAGCCAAATGCTCAATCATTCAAACATGGTTTTGCCTTCATTGAGGGATGGCTACTGGAACACCAACTTCAAAGTCTTTGCAAGCTCGGATTTGAAGCTGTACGTTGTGGGGCAGGTGCGTCTCAAAAGTGGGGCATGTCCCAACAGTGGGTGGGGGTCGGCGAACCAATGCATCCATTCCGCGCTCATAAGCCGACGGGGTTGCGCTTCTGACAAAAATGGGTGGGCTTCCAATGCAAATCCACAGGTCTAGCTGAGTTGGGGTTGGCTGGCTCGTGGTTTTCCTTGTCAGTTGATCTTTGACCCATTTGGTTGCAAGTGGGAATCGTGACAGTTTTTGGCTGGGTTCAGGCAAAAGCAAGATATTCAGTGAGATTCAGATTTCTGGTTCTTCAGGCATCGAAGGAGTGGAATCTCTCACCAGTTCAGTTCACTACCCGTTGCCCAAGTCTCCGTCTTTGAGCAGCTTTCCGCCATAGTGCTTCGCTTGGTGCCCGCGGGAATGTGTCACTGAAAGTCCGAAGGTTTGCTGGCAATAGCAATGCGCTATGTGATTGCCCGGACTGGAGGTCTGAGCATGTTTTGCGGCAGGCAAATTTGCCATGGTTTTTCGGAGGATTCCAAAATGCTTCTCCGCGGCGGGGTCCGCGGCCTTTCTCATGCGGCCGCGGGTGGAAACCTCCCGTTTGGGAAAGAGGAAGCCGCGTGGAGAATTGAGTTGAAAGGTAAGGAAGTATTCGGTTTGGTGTTACCCGGAACCAAAGGACACCTGCCATTACTGAGGCCCCCTATTTTATGACACGCCCAAACATCCCTGCAGAATAAACTTCCATTGAGGCAATTGGTGACTCGAAATTTATTACTTGGTTTGCCTCATCATTCCTTGGTTTGCCTTTTTTTCCCGATTTGGTATTTTCCCAAATTTATCACCCCTTGGTTTCCCCAAAAGTAAACTTATCACCCCTTACTTTGTTTTGCCTTTGTTTTGGTGCCAAGGGAACCTCCTTTTGGCTACGCAGGTTTTGGGCCTCCCTCGTTTGCTGGGTCCATTTTCGGTTTGGCCAGGGGATGGGGAGTGTATTTCTTTGTTATTGTGCCCTTGAGACTCTTGAGAACCTAGTTCGCCGTCGCGGCTTTGGCCAATTTCCTGTTTGCTCATATTTGCTTGTTTGACAAACAAAACAAACAAATCGCACATCACCAACAAACAAAAGGTGGATCATTGCAGGCGGGGCTGAGTGCTCATCGTGACGCATCAATCAGCATACTGAAATTGGTGCCAGTCCATGTCACATCGTATAGTTGAAGTTCTTGCTGCTTGGTGTGTGGATATGGTGCACCATGCAAGTCTTTGGGTTCTGATTTGGACGACCCGTATAACCATCAATTGGTCCTCTGAATTTGCCCAATCGGGACCCTTTTGGAAGCACCCAAATCAGCCACAAGCAGAAGCATATTTAGTTTCTGTCTGACTGGCAGTGGGGTACCTTACCAAAACAATTTCAAGGTTTCCGTCAATGGAACACCAAGCAACTTCACGTCAATTGAAACCTGGCTCGCGCGGCAAGCGATTAGTTACCCTTGCAGGCAAAGCAACCACCCCGACTTGTAAATGCGAACTGCCTGTTTCAAGCTCGGGAGAAACAAGAACGCGAATTGCTCGAGCTCTCAGCCAAGGAAGGGGGGAGGAGCAGCAATCAAACCGATTCAGGTAGATGAAGGTTAGGGGATAGCCGCTCGTGCGGCAAGAAGCCATTTAATTCTCGACGTGGATTTGAGACCATTGCAAGACCAGGACTTATTGGTTTGTCGTCACAACGTGTGTTTCAACAACCTGGCCTGAAAAGTGGTGCTTGAACCCATTAAAAAATCGACTGTGCATTGCAAGCCAACTGAAATGGTCAAGTGTCCTGATGGGATCGTGATTGTGAAGTAGTACTCACCCAAAATGAGACTGTCTCATATTTGGGGGAGCCCAACAACGCCCCCTCCCCTCCCGCCCCCTCCCCCCCGCCCCGCAACCAAAAAACAACAATCAAACAAACAAGCAATCAAGCAACCAAACAAGAAAACAAGAAACCAAGCAAACAAGCAAGCAAACAATCAAACAAACACACAAACAAGCAGCCAGGCAGGGAGGCAGACAGACAGACAGACAGACAGGCATACAAGCGACAGACAAACAAACCACACACACACACACGCACACACATGGTCCTCGATTGAGGGAAGCCCCGATTGATACGCGGGAGGCGTTCATCAACAGAACCAAGCTCTATGAGAGATTTACGACCCAAGTCCCTTCGTTTGGAACTGGGTGTGTGTGCCAGCCCTTTGGTGGTAGCCCTTTGGTTCTTTAGAGAAACCGACAGGAAAGAAGATTTTGGTGCGTACCTGTGGGCCAAATGACCATTGTCCCAACCTTCAGTCGCAGCATGCGAAGGTGCCGAAATGGTGTGTCGCCACGTCACTTGACTAGTGTTGGGTTGGATCTTTAGACTTTGACTTTTTGGGAAATCGAGGCGTTTTCCACTAAACCCCAAAAAGTTAGAAACTTTTTGCAGGGGGGTCAACAGCAACCAAGGTCAAGTATGTATCCAGTTGCATGGCAAGCTGCTGCTAGTTGACCTTTGACACATGGACTACAAACCCAACTCAAGAAGTGATTTGAAGGATGTGGCAGTGTCCAAAGATTGGATGCTGTTTTGCCTGTTTTGGAAAATGGTATGTTTTTGTATGCAGACAATTTTTTTTGCATCCTGCGCAAGATGACGAATAGAGACACAGTCCTGCCACAGTTGCTCCAGATTCTTGCGAAGTTGCTAATATGCCGAATATGCCTCACTTATTTCAGGTCAAAAGAACGATGTTGCGAATGTGTTCGGGAAAGCTGTGGAGACGCTCGGAATACAGAACGACTCATCATGTTGCATCCTACAAGCACGTAGCAAACAGACCCTCCAAGAATGCTGAGAAGCCGCTGGTTCAAATTGGTTCACATCAGACTTACACGTCTCATTTCAGCGTTGCCCCTTTGTCGGTCCTTGGTGTAGTTGCGGTGCAGATGTTTCCTTGAAAGGCGACAGGCCTCTATGCAAGTACCAGCTTGGTGGCCGCACTTCTGGCTCAGTCTCAAAGGCTTCGTCGGGCCAAGACACTATCCCAAACCAGCATTCTCCACATGCCCCTGGTCAGGGCATTGGTTCTTGGCTTTAAAAGGATCAGCCAGCGCGCCAAGATGCGTCAGCTGCGATGGGAACACAGGGATCATGTTGCACGCCAAAAGAAGTGGTTTTTCGTTCGGTTTCACTTTAAACCAACCCCATCGAGCGTACCCACAAAAACGACAGACCGAGTTCTTGTTATGCAATCAAGTCCGGGCCTCTTAGCTTGTTGGCAGGCAATTGTCTCCTCAGGTCTTCAAATTCAAGTCTTCCACTGCATCGTGTCCTTGCAGGCAATAGGCAGGGATGCGCTTTGTACCCAACAGGACTTGGAATGGCTACGGTAGCTTGTCTCCGGTGAAACCGGGCGTTGAAGTCGCACTTGACACTTTGGCCCATCTTGGCCCCTATTGCTTTGCACTCATAGATGGGACCGAACGAACATCGTTCACATTGGTAAGACCAGAGGACAACAAACCTATATGAAGGGCTAAGTAATTGCAATGCGAGTTTGCCCCTATGACTTAGGTACCCCACAAGCCCGCTTAGAATATTCAATCTGAACCAATTGGACCGGGCTCACTTTGGGGTAAAACGAGCTCACCCAAGATCAAGGTCGTGTACTAGGCTCCCATATTTCCAGTTTGTGGATTCTGGCAATTTCCCCGGATATGTCCTGCCAAAAACGTCAACCTCAATAACGGTTCTCCTTTTTGTTGCCATTGTCACAGTTCGTTACTTTCCCCCTTGTAGGGTTGGTTCAAAGGGAGACCAAAGCGAAAAAC